ACCAAAGTAATGTACTTAAATAAAAGGTTGGATTTTTCTCTTTTTTTTCATTTGGGTTCTATGTTGTTTTTTTTTTAAAAGAGAATTTTTAGAAGTCCTCAACCACATCATAAACAGGGGTGCCAATATGTATGTACAGCTTTTGTGCAGGAGCAGAAGAAGCTCAGCTTCCTTAAAAAGAAGCCATTGTTGGATTTCCTGTCCAGTCTGCTGGTCACCCTCTCAGGAACACAGTCCTTTGGTCTGGTCAGACATAGCGGGGTCCGTCAGTCGGTAATCCATGCGGTCGTGGAGGTTTCTCAATGCTTAACAGCCACATGGTTGACTGAATGCATTCACCTGTTTCTTTCCCAAACCTTAACAGTTAAGTGTCTAAATTTACCTTATCAAATTGTCAAACCAAAGTTCGACCCTCAAACATAGTTTTATGGTCCTAACAGCCCTTTAAACTATTTAATGTGGTGCTCTTGTTTTGACTGATGTGTGCACATAGAAAAATGAGAGCAAACACACAAACTTGTGTTCACACACTCCCAGGTAAAAACGCCCCAGGCGAAAAAAATCCAAACAAGATTAGGCCCCCTGTTGACACCACCTGTCAATACAGCTTTGCCTGAAGGGGTCCACCGGTTGATGTTGCAGGATGATTTATTGCATACACACACACACACACACACACAAATGCATGTACACAAACACACACCCGCATGCACTCCTACCTACCGACTTTTTCTCCTTTATAGCCTCTTCCTTCATCAATTTGACCTTTTCAATGTATTCCATTTTACTAGCTATTCTTAGACGTTTATGTTGACTTGTCCTGCTTTCTTTTTCCCATATTTCCTTTTAATCTAATATTTTATGAAGGCTTAGGGTTGAGATAGTTGCTTTCAAAGCGGCTCATTCAAAAACTTACCTACTGAACAGGCAAAATAATTTATACATTAATCTGTGAGTAAAAACATCGTCATCTTCTATTTTTAGTCTTGGAATTGAAATATTTAATTATATATTATCATTATATGATGATATCTGTTATATTATGTTTGGTTAAAAAAAATTAACAGTTGCTGTGAAGAAATCCAGCTGTAGGGATTGTGAACACCTTCACTCCTTTTCATCAGAAAATCAATCTGTACTCAATAACATCAATAGAAGATTAGCATTTTTAGTTTTTCCATCACTTTCTCCTCAGAGTTCCTGGCAGCACCTTTTCTTTACTGTTTACCTCAATGACGAAGTCAGATGGCTCTGACAAGTTTTTCTGGATAGGATTTTTACTGCAAGGTTGTCGTTAGCTGCAGGAGCTGCTGGTGGACAGGGTTAGGGCCTCCATATTTACATTTATTCTCACATGCCATGTAGTCAAATAATGTCAAATCAAAGGCTCTCTTTTTTTTTAAATTAGGAAATGCTTTTAATTCTTCCCCCTAACATCATAATCATCATATGTGTAGGTGCATTTATATATTTGAACAAAATCCAGTAGAATTTGTTTAGACTGTCATTTATAACATCTAAATTAATATTAAAGTGAACCAACCTCCATGTCTTTATCTATACTCAGCACTAACTGAGATTTAAGAAATGTTAATTTAGAGCAACAGCAAGTTATTTTTTTATTTCCACTCTGGGTGAGATGGCTGCTTCTCCTCTGCCTGTGGACATTTAAGTTGAGGGAGTATATTACTCATGATAGATAACCATACTGATGTCTTTCTGTAAGACAAAATACAACAATATGATGATTACCAACCAAGTGATTTACTAACAGAGATTTGGAAAGAAGAGATGTTATAATCAGGAAACCCCCTTTCTTCATTTGTTTTCGTTTTCTGTTCAGTTACATTTTTGTCTTACCTTTTTAGATTTTCAGGAGTTGCTCTTTCTGTTTGTAATAAAACATAAACTTAAAAATAATGGTTGCAGTGTCACCAAAATCCACTTATATCCTGTCTCTCCTTCAGGACAATAAAGTTCTGAGTTCACAGATGGTTCACATTACAAATAAAACCGAATTGAAGTATGCTATAATTTCGAATTACAGTTATCTTTCAATGATGATTCAGTCATTTGTCCTTTTTACTTTTAAGTAAATGTTTTACCTCCTAAATGAAATACTGGACTGATGTTACCCCAGTGTACTGACTAATCTATTATTACCACAGTATTTGTATAATACTTCCTTATATTACTCATCAAAGCATTACCCCGACCAAAAATATCTGTTTTGTAGCATATTAGAACATTTCAGATTAGGTAGTTTCCTTACTGTGACTCTGGTTGATTAATTATTCTGTCCATGGAGAATTAGCAAAAGACAATGTTGGGGAAATTTGGTGAAATGATTTGATACATTGAGTAAATTGTGTGCTTGAGTATTGAAAAGAATTACTCCGTGCTCAGTTTAGCTTAAACCAAAGCCCAAGATGCAAAACAAACTGTCATTTTTTCAGGTATGACGAGCATCATCCAGTTTGAAGATTTTAGCATAGTGATGGATTTATTTGAGTTTTAAAGAAACATTTAATAGTTTATTATGGAAATGAAATAGATTAGGGTTTGTTGCATTATTTATGGAGAACACTAGAGAGGAAAACTGAAATGAGAACATTTTAAGCAAATTCATTGAAAATGAATCCTTCATGTCGTAGAATTGCAGTTAAAGCAGTTTTGATCCAAACAACTATCATTAAAACACTGATTTTGATATAGTTAGTTTGGAAAGGTTTAACATTAGAGAGAAGAAACACAACAAGTGGAAATGTATGATTATATGTAAGTCAAATTGATTGGGTCCCTTTGGACAGTACTGATGTCTCTCACTGACACACGTCAATTGTCCGGCTTAAAAACGACCCTGACAGAAAGCAGCTGTATGTTTATGAATCCTTGAAATGTTTCATATTTGATCTGAAATTGCATCCAAACAATGAACAAATTACCTCCAAAGGGAGCGGAACAGGAGCCTGAACTGGACCGTATTTAAGTCACTCGTGGTGCCTCCGGGTCACTGAATCATAGGTTCTGCCAAAACGAAATAAAAAAAACAAAACACTAAAAGGCAGTTGCTAAAATGTCAGCTTTCCTGAGAAACAATTAGTCCCCGAGGTTTTGACAGGAGCGGAGTTAGCGTCGGTGTAAATGGTTATTGACACCCAGCTGCTGTCACCACAGCTGCTGTG